ATGAACAAGTTCATGTATTATCAGTGTTTGAAGATAGACCAGCGGAGACATCGGCTCCGGAACAATATTTTACCATTTTGCCTTCAGTTGGTTCTTGGCTCGTTCACAAATTGCAGCCGAGGTCAGATAAGGACGGGGCCGAGGGAGTTTATCCAGAATCTAGCCACACAGAAACACACACAACAGTTGTACATACGAGGTGCGATAGTGATGAAGATAAAGATGCCCGGGAATATGTTTATACCATTTCAAACCAGATCGATCGATGGCAGTTTGTGGGTCCAGCTTCTCTTTCCTTCGTACGGCGCAAACAGAAACTCGATGAGGCGATCGAGGAGGCGAACAAATTGACAATGGAGATTGAAGGGTTAGAAGAAGCAGTGGCGTTGAGCGACACTTTGACCAGAGAAGAACTGCGCGATCTTTGTGCCAAATATACCAGATATGCAGAATTGCCTGGGTAGTCTTGGAAACAAAGGATGGCATTAGACCGCCTCTTCGACGATTTGCAAGAAGCATGCAGTAATCAAGTTGCTGAACACGAGCACAGTATTGATAGCCCGTTGCAGGGTCATATATACGATATTTTGGGCACAGGAGAAGCATTGACAGTTGATGGGGTCAGATCGAGTTTGCCATTTCCATGTGCAGCAGCAGAAATAGAGCAAGCCCTCCAGATTTGGATGGAAGTTCAAATTGTAGTAAGAGCCGGTGATTTCTACACATTGCGAGCAGTATAGCGAGTTTGGTGCCGAGACGGGATTATTCCGTCGTTCTGTTGTCGTTTTGCGAAGGAGAAATAACAAGATCAGGATGTTGGGCCTGTGCGCGTTTGGCGCGTTGGGTCGTGAATACCTCGGGCAGATAAGCGAAAAACAGTACAGTGCTGCATCTTCCTGTCTGCGTCGGGACTGGTGGGGTGGGGGGGATTGGGCGGGGTGGAGGGAGGGGGTTCGGTACTCTCTGCACGCGTCCTCTTGGGGAGGGGCGCTCGCGGTAGCTGCGGGGCGCCGCCAGTCCCCAGATCCCACTCTCATTTTCCTAGCTTCGGAGGCGAGTTGCCCTCCGCAATCGGGCCACCTTCTTCGGCTCCAGGGCCCAAGGGGGTCGTCCAGGCAGGCCTCGGGAACCAGGCTGGAATTGGTCCCTGGTCCTTGCATCCATATTTTATCGCAGGGACATCCACAAGTGTTGTGCTGCCGCCGCGGCCGCTGCTTGACACCACGTCCCCTAAGCACCTTCACATTTTTTTTAACCTCCGCCTCCTCCTCCCCCTCCTCCTCCTCCTCCTCCTCCTCCTCCTCCTCTTCCGCTCTTGCCCTTCCTTCCCGTGTCCCTCTTGCCCCGATCATGTCTTGGCCTCTCCGCAGCACTCCCCAGGCACCCAAACGCGTCTCCTCATCGGCGTCGTCCTCGTCAACTCGTACTCCCGCCCTCCCTCCTCCTATATGGGGGCGCCGCGCCGACTTCGGCACACCTCGCGCGCTTCCTAGCCCCATGGGAACATAGGAATCATGAGGAACGGCATCCCCATCATGTTTCGTCCTCTTTGCAACATTCCCCCGACATCCAAACGCATCTCCTCCTTGACGTCGCCCTCCTCTTTTCGTATTTCCCCCTCCCCTCCTTGCCTGGGCCCGCTTCGCCCCCGCGCCGAGCAGGCGACTTCTTCTCCGATAATCCTGCTTCGCGTGCTGCGTGCTGCTCCTTTTTCTACGCCGCAGTATACCAAGTCCACCCTGGGGCCTCCCTCGAGCCTCCCCAAACTTCCCCCCCTGGAGCTTTTAAATACGCTCCACGGGGGCTGCATACAGGCCAAGATGGATTCTGGACGGCTCGAGATGGCTTCGCTATGGCCCAAATAGCCCCCGTGTCGACCCAAAAGACGACTCCAAGAGGACCACCTGATGGGGCCCCACAGGCGAGCATCGCCCAAATCCATGGGGCAGCGCACATTTCCAGCAAACCTGTATGTTTTGTCCTGGCAACGTTTAATACGGTGGGGGGGGGGTCAGGAACGAGCACGGGAGGCTTCAGACCCTGGATTGTTCCTTATCTGATGAGGGCGGCGGTGATATCCATGGCCAAGCTTCAATTGGAATTCCGCCGGCCTCCAGACCTTGGATTCCTTATCGAAGGTTTCCTTATCCAATGCCCCCGCCGTGCACAGTTCGAGAGGCCCCACACATTCAGTAGGGAAAAACACACAGACACAATTCATCGTCGATTCCCCCCAAAATATAGGAAAATATGGGAAGTGTGTGGGGGGAGACAAAACACCAGAAACTAGGGGAACATATCGGGAATCCTGTTATTTGTGTGCGGGTCCCAGGACCGCCCCAGTCTGTGGGCCCCAAAGGACGGCCTGGGCTGGGCTCGGCACGGCGCGCCAGGCCTCCGCCGGGCCGGTCTTAGGTGGGTCTTCCTCCTCCTCCTCCTCCTCCTCCTCCTCCTCCTCCTCCTCCTCCTCCTGCTCCTCGTTGTCCTCCTCCTTCTCCTCCTCCTCTTCCTCCTCCTCCTCGCTGTCCTCCTCCTCCTTCTCCTCCTCCTCCTCTTCCTCCTCCTCTTCCTCCCTTGATTCTCCATGCAGCCGTGGAGCTCGTCTGCCCTGCAGTCGGGCCGAGGTGGGAGATCGAGGTCGGCTCGGGGAGGCTATCCGCGTGTTCCTCGTGCTCGTGTCGGATGCTCCTGTGCATCCTGGGGAGGGCACCCTGGAGTGTTCTGTCTGCTCTGGCCGGCGCAGGGTCCCGTGCTCTTGGAGGCTGTACGTCTGGCCTGGGTCCGAGTGTCTGCTCTTTCCCCCTCCTCGCCCCTCCCTCGGGGAGACCGGGGGGAGGAGAGAAGAAGGAGGACCGCCGAGACGAGGACGGGGGAAGAAGAGGGAGGGTAGAGGAGAGAATGATTGAGAAAACAGGGTCAAGGACGGAATAAAGGGGAGAGGCGAGAGGCGAGGGGGAAAGAATAGAGGCGCCTATGGCCCAGCATTTGGAATGTTTCATGGCGCTGGCCAGGCATATTCTGGGTGATAGCTGGCGTGTAAGTTTTTGTCTTGGGGCCCTCCTGGGGCCTCCTGGGGCCAGCTTGGGGGACTTGCGGGAGCATTTTGGACAATTGCACGCCCGTTGGGGAAATGGTTGGACGCCGTTCCCACCGAGTTGTTTGTTGTTTTTGCTTGCCGATTGGTCACGCAATCTGTCTTGCAGTACCACACGCTGCTCAACGTTGCTTCAATGTTATTTGTTGGGTATTATGGTTGTTTGGTGCTCTTTTATTGGCGGGTGGCGGTGCGCTGTAGGCAAGACAGGGTGTGGCTTCTTAGAAGACCGCCCTCTTCGCGTCGCCCCTGAGACCCGACGTTATCACAAGACACAACACCCTGTGAAGTCACGACCAGTGCTACCCCGTAGACACGCTATTGGCGATGTAGGCAACGGCGATGTAGGTTTCGGCCGTGCAGGTGAAGGTGACTCGTGGCCAGCCCAATCGAAGGAAAACGTTGTGCGTGTTCTCCTACACCTTGTTCTGCACGAGTCCTTGTCGCAAGAACCCGATTCCCAACATCGCCGCGAACCAACACACCGTCAGCTTGGCCTTAGAGACCCCACCCCTCCGCGGCATTCCTCGAGCCGGATCGCCAGGTGAGGGCCCGCGGGGCCCGAGCCAGGCAGCACTGGGACGAGGATGCATCCGTTCCAGAGCCTTCCCAGAGCGCTCTTCGAGCGCCCCTCGACGCTCTGAGAAGGCCGCGGCGCCCGAGACACCCCTCAGAACCGCGGGGATCCCAGAGGTTCTCGATGTATCTAAGGAGGGAAAAAAACACACAGACACAATTAATCTTCGATTCCACAGAAAATATGGGAGAATATGGGAAGCGGGGGGGAAGACAAAAACCCAGAAAATATGTGAAAATATGGGAATCTGTTTATCTGTGTGTATTTATTTGTGTGTCCCAGGGCCCCTTCCGTATCCCCGCCCGAGTTTATCCCTCGCCCTGGCCTCGTCTCGACGCAGGCACCGCGGCGCCCTGATCTCCGAGCGCTGCCTATCGCGCGCGTCGCGGCGGCCCCCGCCCGAGACAGGCCCCGAGGCCAGGCCTGGGCCCGCGCCGCGGCCGGGGGCTCTGGGGCCCCTGCGGCGGCGCCGCCGCCGGGCGCCTCGGCGCGAGATTCGGCCACGCTTCTGTCGGGCCTGTCCCCCTATACAGGGGTGGTTTCGACGAAAATAAACAATACCCCACAAATGCATTAAAGATGTGAAGCAATAGTCAACAAATAGTTCCCAGACTATTTTTTGGTATCATTTTTTGACTATTTGGGGGGTATCTTGTATCTTTCGTTGAAAAGCCCCCTGTAGGGGGACAGGCCCGACTTAAGGCCACGCGCAGACGGGGGTAGGGGTGAGGGGGGGAGGCTTCTTAGAAGCACCCCTGCTTCTTGGAAGGCGCGGGTCTCGTCTGTAGATGTAGGGCCAGCGCCTTCTAAGGAGCAGCCTCCTTCTAGGAAGCCTTCCCCCTTCCCCTAACCCCCTTGTGCGCTCCGCCAGAGACGGTGGAATCGAGCGAGACCCCAGAGTTTCAGAGGAGGACAAGGTACGGATACCGCTACCGCTACACTTCTCTCGTGTTCGCCTGTTTGGGCCTCCTGGGAGGCCCTCGTTGCCACCGCCGGATTCGCCCCGAAGTCCCGGTCATCACGCACCTCGAGATAGGTCTGGGAAGAAGCGGCGGTTTCCCCAGGGTTCGTAGTCATTCTGGGGCGATGGAGACTCCCGATGAGCGGAATGCCGCCGAAGCCTCCACGAGCCTCGAGACCAGAGGCACGGGGCCCCAGAACAGAGCCACGAGGCCCCCACGAGCGTGGAGGATGGAGCCCCCATCGGACCTCGAGAGGGGTAGCCCAAGCACATCGTTCTCGCGCTGCTCCAGGCGCGAGGGCCTGGCCGCTTGTGCACGCCTTTCGTGATTGCAGGACGGGCCGTGCGCGCGGCCCCCCGCCCCCGAGGCTCCGGGATCCCGACCGGCCCATCGCGGGGCTGATGTTCTGCGGCCCGACCGGCGTGGGGAAGACCGCCCTCTGCAAGACCCTGGCGTCCAGCTATCGGCGCCGCTTCGCGGTCCCACACGTGCTCCTGCTCGTGCCATGCCAGTCGCTACCCACGATGGGAGGTTTTTTGCCGTTCTCGGCTGCGGGGGGCCCTCGCTGGGCCGCTGGACGGTCAAACAACGACTCGGGATGGAACACCAGCCCTGGAGAAAGAGAGGGTCATGAAATCCTGAACAAAACAAGACATCAGGTGAGCGTTTTTTTTATTCGTCGTTTTGCCGATCGGCGCGGGCCCTTGCCCCCCCCCTCCTCCCCCATGGAGTAGATCTTGGCGGTGTTTGGCGCCTGTTTCGAGCAGGTGGGATCTCCCCCAGAGGCAGCACTCTCGCAAACAGTCGCACCAAGCAGAGGTTGGAGCCAGACCCCCCCATTTCTGCCCAATGTCGGAAGGCCGAATTAAAAAAACGCTCACCAGATGACTGGGGAAAGTGCCCGGATCATTGCGCTTCTCCTGCCTTTGGGGCCCACGAAACGGAGTCCGAAAATCCAGAGTCTTGGATTGGGGTCGTAAAACGCCCCGTTGCACTACACATGCTGGCGACAGGGAAGCCCGAACGTTGACACAGTCTTCAGCGCCTTGCACTGCGCCTCTGCTCGTCAGAGCTTGATGCTTTGCAGCAGTATCGCCTTTCGTAGTTCTTCCTTCGTTCGTTGTCAGCCTGGGCCCGCCCTCTTTAACCATATCTCACCATGCTGACCGCTGGGATGACAGGATTGACTGAGAGAGTTGGCCACTCCTCTCCCTGTAGGGGACCAAATGCGAACCCTACCCCTACCCCCCCACGATCTCTGAGGGGGAGGGGGAGGGTCACTTCGCTCGGGAGTTCCCGGATGAAGTGAACCCCACCCTCCCACTCAGAAACCATGGAGGGTAGGGGTAGGGTTCTCATGTGGCCCCCTACCCTGCCCATCCTGTGCCTAAGCACTTCCTCGTGCACTGGCCATGGCTTGCTTGCCACAAGTCTACCGTTTTGGTGCGGCTGGAACGGCTGAGCATACTGTCCAGGGTCACGCTTGCATTATAGAGGCCGTCGCGTTTGAAGTATCAACGCTCTTCTGCAAGAGATAAGTCTATGCGTAATCGGCGTGTCTCATGTTTTGCTCAATCGTTCTCTTTAGGCAATCGGCGAGACAACCAATACCCAACTTGCATCGCAGGAGCAATGCCGCCATCTCCTATCTATTATCCATGCGCTCTACGCGTGTCGGCAGCCTTGGCTTGCACTACTGGCATTTAGCTGTAGGCCACGGCTCAGGAACAGGATTTTGGATGCGATGTTCGATGTCCATGGGCGATGTTACCTGGAGGCGGGGCCCGATCGTATCATTACCAAGCATATGCTGTGGCACTTGTTCTATTTTTGGCAACCGCCACCACCACTGAGCTGTGCGTCCGGAGGGACGCGTGGGCAAAGAGTGCGCGATATATCTTCCTCATGCCACGTATTGCTCATGCCACATGTTCCTCATGCCACATATTGGCAACCGTGGCCCAATATTCCTCATGCCACAAGGGCGGAACGGGCGGGGAAGCATTGGACACCGTTTCACCTCGGCAAGTCGCACGCACGAGCTCCGCTCGGGATCACACCTGTTTCCGGCGGGCGCGGTGCGCCGGGAATATCCTCGAAGCTACGATTGGGGCCCACGCGAAATACACTCGGCGGTTTTGGCAATCCAGCACATTGTGTGATCTATCGTGTGATGACAATATGAGTACACGCTGGTCGTTGAAAGTAGGTATTTTTGGACTCCCAGATCCCAAGCTACTTCAAGCGCCTTCCTACTTCAAGAACCGATATGCTTTTGCTGTGTTCTGTTATTCTCTGGGAGGACCTGGACCCAATCCACTATATCCGCCTTCTTACTTCATGTTTCTACCTACTTCTTTCGACCGACGTGTATTGTGTGTATGTCCCGAATTGGTTCTCAAGTCGTTCCGCCGACCGCGCCGCGACCGTGCTTTCCGCTATCAAGGGACTTTGAACGTCGCCTGCACAATCTGTGTCTGACCGAAGCCTTCGAGCTTGGGCCTGTTCGACGAAGCGGTTGGTCAGACCTCTCGACCCGGGATCCCACAACATGCAGCAATCTTACGACTACCGCTGCCTGAACGCCCACAGCGCAAAAAAGTAACACGCGTGTGTAATATCTGTGGTAAAAGGGGCGTCTGCGTAACCAATGATGCGTATGTGCGAAGGTTACAGGTTGGACAAAACAAGGAGCAGCGCTCTGAAAGCCTGTGATCCTTGGTTGGCGGTCTGGCGGATTTCGGATCAGATAAGGCCATGATCAGGCTCGACATGAGCGAGTTCATGGAGAAGCACACCGTGTCCAAGCTGATCGGGGCCCCCCCAGGGTACGTCGGTTATTCAGAGGGAGGCGCGCTGACGGAGGCCATCAGGCAGAAGCCTTATTCCCTGGTGCTCTTCGACGAGGCCATGGGAGGGAAGGGTGAGAGGGAGGAGGAAAAGGAGCAGGAAGAGCAGGAGGAGGGGGAAGAAGGCCTGCCTTCCCGCCGCCGCGCAAGCGCCAACCGCAGGTGGAGAAGGCGCACCCCGATGTCTTCAACATGATGCTGCAGATGCTGGACGACGGCCGCCTCACGGACTCCAAGGGCCGGACGGTGTCCTTCGCCAACGCGCTCATAGGATGCCGCTTCGTCGAGGTCGTGGTCGCTTCCGACGGAGACGACGAAGCACGACAGCGACAATGGGCGACGACGACGACGACGACGACGACGACGACGACGACGACGGCGGCGGCGACGACGACTACGGTGCTGCGCAGTGGAGGTTCCCAAGGCATGTCGCATCTGCGCATGCGGGTCGGAGACCCAATGATGGGTCGGGCACGCAAGGATGAATCGGAAGTAAGGCGTGGCTCTGAGACCCCATATGTCGGGCCTCTGGCGGCCGTTCGGGGTGCTTGGGGCCCCCCCCTCAGGACGCTCTCGACGAGGGGCGCAGCTTCTGGGAGGCACCCCGAGGCCAAAGCTTTCCCCAAGGGCGAAGCGTCAACCTCCAGAAACTCCCAGCGAGGCCCAGGAGAGGGGGGGGGGGAGCGGGCGGGTCATCGGTCATCTGGGCGCCCCTACGGAGGGCGCGCGCTGTCTCGGCCCCGAGACATCCGACGCCCAGGGCCGGTGCGCTTCCCTCGGGGTAGTCTTCTGTGGGTCCTGGGCACGGCAGGGGCCCCTGTAGTAGTCAAGAAGTGGCGAAGCGTCCCGGCTCGCCCATAGCCCCACCAAACAATGTTCTAAGAACCTTTTGTGGTTCCCACGACATGTTCTTAGAACATTTCTGGCTAGGACTGTCTTGTTTTAACACATCGGGCTTCTGTTCAAAGAACATTGTTTTTGCTCTTAGAACATTTTTGGGTTCTGAGAACATTTCGTGGTATGACTATAGGAATGCCGGAACGGTTGGTCCCCGCTCAGTGTAGAGGCGGAAGCAGATGTAAAGCCACAGCCTTGACTTGCTCCAAGACTCTGGCCCAGGCCTCCCTTGATGCGGGCGGAGCAGGTGGGGTCGGAGGATCGCGCCGCATCGCCCAGCCCTCGCCGAGGCATCGGCGATGCGGCTCGGCGCGGGGCCCGATCCCCTCCACGCCGCCGCCGCCGGTGCACCGCCGACTTCGCGGGTACGTCGCCGATGCATGGAAAATTGCGGCGCGGTCGTCCGACCCCATCGCCGAGGTTCTCGAAGAAGAGTTCCTGGAACACGTATGCGTCGTTCTGTCCACCCCGGCAGCTGCGACGCGTGAGCCTTCTGGCGCTCCGGCGCTCCCGTCGGGCTCTC